AATAAGTTTTGCTCACCTGTAAAGAAAGGATCTTGGGAAAATAAATCTATTAGTTTTTTTACCCTTGAAGTGAGAATGATAATGGTACTTAACCTTATAGGGTTTTTATGAGGATTAAATCGGTTATTACAGCAAAAACATTTAGTGACTGGAGTATAATAACTTAAGTGTTAAATATTATGCATCTCAGATGTTGCTAAGCAGTATTGTTTGCGTAGGAAGAACAGGCACAAACAAATCCTGTTTTCCCTTTTCAATTAGCTGTGTTCCCGAAGAATCTCTTTCTAAGTATGCATGGTTAGCCTACTTCAGTTGAACTTAAACATAGTGAATTGGCCTTTCTTAAAGTAGTATTATGTAATCCAGACATTTCAAATTAACCTTACCTTTACTGCATTAATAAAGTTTTAATTATGAAGCAATTGATAGCTTCATGATAAAATCACAGAGAATTTAAGACAGTCAAATTATACTAAAATGTTAGAAATAAATTCTCCATAAATGTAAATCCTTCAACAATTTAGATATAAAGCAAACATGTATCTGTGATGGATTCATATATATCTAAAAAATACTTTTTTTGAATTTACTATTTTGAACCTTGGAGGTAATAAACTTAGTAAGGTTCTATTAATACTTTACAGACTTCCTCCAAAAATTCTTGCTCACATCTAGATTTATTTTAGATATGGCTTTTTTTTTTCTTGCCTAATACCTGTGGAACTGTGCAGCACATAAATTTTAAAAACAATAATTTTTACGTGTTAGCAGTAAGACTAATGAGCTCACTGGAATTTTTTGTTTTATGGTTCTTTGAGGTTATTTTATATTTTAAAATAGCTGTATCATTTTAAAAGGGTAAGAATAATCAAGTGAGAGAATCCAGATTTAGGTTTTCCATTTACTTTATATCATTTTCAGTTTTAGTACTTTCCTTTGACATTAGAAATGTAAGCAGTCAGGTCTTATAAAGTATCTTTCCAGGTATGCCATTTTTTCTTGCATTTTGCTGAAGTGTCTGGTTCTTTGATCTCTGATCAAAGTTGCTATGTAGGAATAAGTCAGTCCACTTGAAGCAGGAATGTAGCACTTCGTCTTGCTTTTCCCAGTGACCTTTCAAAATGAAAAATCAATACATTATGTGTGGTTGATGATATTGGATATAGAACACCAATTTAAAGTTATGGTATAACTATATATTAAAATAAACCATTTTTTTTTCTTCATTAGTTCTTACCTAGCAGGAGTAACGGTCTTAAATTGTGAAAATTGACATAAGATTGACATAAAAGAAAAATAAAAAGAATAGTAACTAGAACTTTCCATCATGTCAGTGACTTTGAGGCTTCCACCAGACCTCCTCATTGTGTTGTTACTTAGATTGAGACAAGCTTTATTTAGTGTTAGTGACTCTTTTTACTGAAATCAAGATAGGTTCCTGGTTCCAAAAAGATAAGTGACTCCATCCTTGATTTGGGCAGTGCCACAGAGCATGAGTTAGGGGCTTTAAGTGCTAAGGCTATTCCAGCCCTGTAAGACCTGACCCCCGAGTACTGCTTTTAACAATCCCAGGGAGTCAGCCTGTGAACCAGTCAGTGGACACTGTCTCTGTGAACACAGGAACCAGATCATGGTGAACAACCAGAAGGCTCTCTGGGATTTGGCCATTCCCACTGTTGACAGTCCTTGTGTTTTTCTCTCTTTCAGGAATCAGTTTACCTTTCCTGGAGGTCTGTACTCCCCACTAGAGGTCACCCCATTGTTAGGAGTTGCTTGGTTACCCAGAAATCAATGTTGCAAGCTTTCTTCAGTACAGTAGAGAACTGTCTCCCCAGAGCTGTGTCCAGCCTCAGGAGAGCAATAACTATGTGGTTATTGTTTTCATTTGGGGAAGGGGTGTTTAAATCATATAACTTGTGAGTAGCTGAACTGGGGTTCAGACTCACTTCAGCTCCAGATATTTCCTGGCTAGAGTAGCCACCCTATTTTAACAGCCTTTGGCAGTAGCAGACTGCCTCCAGAATATTATACACTCACTCCTAATAGTAATCCTTCTTAGGAGAGTCAGATTATATCATGTCTCTCTCCCTTCTGCTTTCCCGCCTCTAAAAGCAGCCGTCAGTATGCTTAGCTTTCACATCCTTTCACATCCATTTCCCTATTCCCATTCACAGGGAAACAGATTCAGCCTTCTGTGAAACTTGAAAGATACAAGCTCATTCTTCACACTTATACATTAGTGCTTCTAACTCCACTTGTTGATTGGTTCTTGTTACACATTCCCAGGACATTCACCCTAGCCTTCCACATGCTTCATCTTACAAGCTCTTCTATAAATAACCCTTCACTCTTCTGGCTGCCTGAGGCACCCAGACAGATGACGCCATAGGGAAGATGGACACCTTCAGACACAGCAGTATTTTAGTCAAAATCTTTAGGCCTTCATATGATCTGGTATTTACAATACTAGCTGTTTATCCCAGAGAAAGGAGGATTTATATTCACATAAAAATACATACCTTAATGTTTTAGAAGCTTAAACATAATGCCTCAAACTGGAGAAACCAGATGTCCTTCTATATGTGAACAATTAAATAAACTGTGGTATTTTGATATAATGGAATATTACTTAGCAATAAAAAGGAAACAGACTATTTAGTCATGTGTTAGTTAGCAATGTTGTAGTGGTCAGTTACAGAGTGAGCGTATATGATAGTGGTCCTGATAGGCTCTACCATAAGATTAGGTATGTAGTAGGCTATAACATCTAGGTTTTTGTAATTACACTCTGAACAATGACAAAATTACCCAGATGAAATTTCTCAGAATGTATCCCTGTCATTAAGTGACACAAGACTGTATTGATAAAGACAATCTGGATGAATCTTCAGAGAATTATGTTGAGTAAAAACAAAATCCCCAAATGTTATGTACTATATGATCCCATTTTATGGCATTCTTGAAATCACAGAATTCAAAAAATGGAGCAGTGTTTTCCAGGGGATAAAGAGGAATTGGGGATGGGAGGAAATAGGTGTGGACAATAGTTAATATGGGTCCTGATTTTTATTCACTTTTATAACTTCTTGAGGAAGCTCTTAATTAGATATTTAGTGACTAGTGTCTAAGTGATGTCTTGGGCATTTTCTTGGCAGGTTTCTAGTCATTAGATCTTATGTATATGTATAGTAGTAAATTTGAGATCACATAAATAAAACTGTGATTTGATCATATTTATTTTGTTATGGAACCTTGTCATATCAAAAGAAATGTTTTGTGAAAGCATTGTCTTTCTTGTGCATATAATGTAGCAATAGGATTATTTGAGGGGGAGGCATAATCATATAATTTATAATTCTATCTGAAGGTGAACAGCCAAACTTGTCCTTTACATAATATGAGCCCTATCTTCAGAAGAATTCCTTGCACCATTTCAACATTGAAAATGAAAGCCAGAGCACATATTAGAGTAAGGCTTTGTCACGAAGACTCAATTCCAGTGGTCAGGACAAGAAAGGAAAAGTACTTGGCTCTGTGAACTGAGAATATTTGTTCAAGGAAGTCAATTAAGTGACTCAGTGGTATGAAGTTTACCTAAATTGGCAATATAGAATTGCAGAAAACAAGGAAACGTTGAGGGTAAAACATGACATTTGTTGAGGGCCTCCCCCATGGCGCAGCGGTTGAGTGCTGGGTTGCGAAGCTGCCCGCAGCCTCTGCAGCACCAGTTCGATCCCCGGCCACCGGGCAAGGGTCCCACATGGCACACAGACCTCTCCTGCTGCGCCCACTGCTCCCCTCAGCAGTGTACTTCGTCAGTCTGCCTGTTCTGCTCCCCACTCTGGCTCTGGTGAATTCTCTCACCCTCCCGCACTTACGACTGTACCCAGTGCTTGTATATATAAAGAAATAAATCTTAAAAAAAAAAAAAGACATTTGTTGACACTGTGTGGGACTGGTCCTCATATATAAGTTGTCAGCCCTCTTCTTCACTTCCACCTAGCATTGATAACCTTTAGGATGTAACCTGACTTACATGTTACTAATGGAGCTTAATTATTTCCCTATAGCAGTTTATTTAAAGGAATTTGATGTACCATAAATCGCCAGTGAAAGGTTAACCTGAATTTCATGTTGAGCTATGAATTTGGGATTTACACATTATATCCCACCACTTAGCATACTGCCTGTCACATTCCAAGCACACTGAATGATTGTTTAATGAATTGATAATGATTCTTTGTGGTCCATACTGACTTTGCATAGCTTCAGCTTTTGTGGTCCCTTACTAGAGGAATGCTGTGGGGCAGACAGGATATTATGAAAATGTCTCTCAGTGCACAGAGGGGCAATCTGAATGGGTTCCCCCAAAGCTAAGGTGAGACAGGACTTCATGAAGAGCAGGGTCAGGAATGTGGAAAACTGCAGATAAATTTGAATTAATTTTTCTTTCACATGGAAAATCAAGTAGGGAACGATCTCAGGAGGAGATTTAAGTATCAGCATTCACACACGTTGGAAATATTTATTTTTTTAATGTATTATGTTTGATTTAAATGTAAGTACTGATTGCTTTTACACCCACTTCTCCCCCATTGCAAATAGCATTCGATTTCTAAAAATGATTGTATGGGCTAATCTGAGATCTAGCCACCATTTATACTGTGAAAAATATGTATTCTGAATTTCAGTGACTTAGAGTGAATTTTGAAAGGCCTGTTTGTTCCCTACTGATGGCACATAATTTGATCCTTTTTCTTTTATCTTTCTGACCAGCTTGTTTGTGGGCAACAGAATTGTTCCTTATTTAAGTACTTCTGTTTTTCCTTTCCTCTGCTTTAACACTCTTCAGTTATTTTTCTCACCTTATAAATTGATGCCTTACCCACAGATTTTCTGGATCAAACCTACGGCCTCATTAGTCTGTCTGTATTTAATAGAACAGCAAGTCTTTTTTCACACCACACCTTTGTTATAACTGAATTTTCTATTTACTGTAGATTCGTGCCAGCACATTTCTGGACATTCTGTTGAGCCCTCTTAAGAATTCAGAGAAACTGCTGGGTGATCACTGAAAGAAAGATCTAATCTCAGAGCTTACGTGAGTATTTTCTCCTGTGGACTTCCTTACAACATGTGACCTTGCTTTAGGGCAGATTCAGTTCTGTGATCAAGAAAAATGTTATCTATCCTTGTGTTTATTAGATTTGGGGGTAAGGTTAGCGATATCTTAAGGACACAGTGAAATTCACAGAATATACCACATTTATTTTCATGTGAAAAATAGACAAGAAAGGCTTGTCTTTTTATTGAGCCACCACTTAAAAGAATCCCAGTGTGCAAACTACAAGAATTCTTACTGTGTTTGTACCAAAAACATCAAGTAGATTGTTTTTCATTATCTGTTCATGTAGAATTTAGCCAAAACATACTACCTCCTGAAAAAGCACCTAGTAAGTGAAATTTTATTTTTTATGATCCAATCAATAATTACTCTGAGTAAAATAGATACATCTCAGAAAAGAACTCTTGGCTATTTTTTTAAGTAATTTCTATTCATTGATTTGATTTCTTTAAAAAAGGCATTTTACAGTGCCATAATCTGAAGTTCATTTATCTTGATCTCTAATTCTCAATAACAAGCAGATTGTTTAGCATTTTCCTAAACAGCTTCTTCTCACCCTTTGTACTAATGGAGCTTAATTATTTCCCTATAGCAATTTATTTAAAGGAATTTGATGTAATATAAATCGCCAGTGAAAGGTTATCCTGAATTTCATCTTGAGCTATAAATTTGGGATTTACACATTATATCCCACCACTTCTCATACTACCTGTTTGTTGTTCAGTAAGTTGTGCTAATTCCATCTGCTGATCTCCCTCCAGCATGCCCCTCTCTCTCTCTCTCACTGCTGCAGGTCAGGCCCTCATTCTCTCTTGCCTGGTTTTCTATAGTGACCTAATGATTGATTTCCCTGTAGTCAGTCTTGACCCCCTCCAATTTAAGACTTCCATATTGCCAACAAAATCATCTTGCAGAAAAACTTTAATAAGACTGTGCCATTTCCTTGACTTAAAATCCTTCAGTGACTCCTCACTAAAATTCCAGTATAATAAACCTTACCATGATTTGTTAGGAAGATTAGATAAAACTTATTAAAAATCGCTAGTGTATTATCTGGCTCAGAACAGTCCCTCAGTCCATGGTAACGTTTTTCCTTTGCACAGGGAAGCCCTGGTAGCAACAGAGCTCTAGAGTAAACAGTGGCTCTGCTGAGAAGCCAGGCCAAAAGGGGCAGGGGCATGAGGAATCTCACCCAAATCTGCAGCTTTGCTTTCTTGAACCCCCTTTCAATTAGGCACAAGTGTAGACTGGTTTAGCCTCCAGTTCCATCAGTGTTCCATCAAAAGGCTCTGCCTGATTAACTATAAGTCAAGCCCATCTGTGACTAAACTTTTGTTACCTAAGAGTAAGAGGGCAACTGTGTAAACACACTGGACACTCTGCCTTTGTGTTTCTTACTGTGGTTTGTGTTTTCTCTGCAATTTCTTAGTAAAGTCTCTTAAATGAAACTAAACGCTTTTTCTCCCTCCCTCTCTCCCCACACCCCTTACCAGTGAGGCAGGGATGTGACAGTAAAAGAGATGTGGATAAACTGAGTGGGTGAAGCCAGGTTACTCAAAGAGATGAAATGTTAAAGTGGACACAGTGGGAATTACATCTTTGTCCCTCTTCTGTATTCCCAGACAGATCTGTTTTTCCTCAGTCCTCAGACAAGGTTTTGGCAAAGTTGGATATTTAGATAACAATAAAGCAGCAGAATAGGTTATACAAGAAAAAACTTCATATACTTCATATACTGACTTCATTTACTTACAATTTTTAATTGGGTTTGTTGCTTTCCTTAGTTTTTCTGTTAAAATTTGATGTTTGTTCTATAAACACAATGTTCACTGGGTCCTTACTGTGAATTAAGTTATTTTTTTATTTTTTTTCATGCTGACTTAGCTTTTGAGTAGGTAATCTGTGTACCATATAGAATATTGAATTCATTAAGACACATCTCTACCAGCAGTAGCTCTCATGTGTATGTATAGGTAATTCTTTGATATTTAAGGCTCACATTATCTGTCTTCTGACAATGCAACAAACTTACATCTAAACAATTACACCTTGTTTAAGTTTTAAAACATCTCTTAATCTTTTTGCTTGGTGAAAAGCAAAATGGAGTTTTATAGTAATTTAATTGCAGTTTTGATCCAGCATACATACATATTAGTGCTTTTCCAAATGACTTCATTGTCTTGATGTAGTTCGATGTCACTGAATCTCATTCATATTTCCTTACAGGCGTATTCCCTTCACCACCTCAGAACAATGTCCTATGTTTTTGTAAATGATTCTTCTCAGACTAATGTCCCCTTGCTACAAGCTTGTATTGATGGAGACTTTAACTATTCCAAGCGGCTTTTGGAAAGTGGCTTTGACCCTAATATTCGTGACAGCAGGGGCAGAACAGGCCTTCACCTTGCAGCAGCCCGAGGGAATGTAGACATCTGCCAGTTATTGCATAAATTTGGTGCTGATCTTCTGGCCACAGATTATCAAGGAAACACAGCTCTTCATCTCTGTGGCCACGTAGATACTATTCAATTCTTGGTTTCCAATGGACTCAAAATTGATATTTGGTAAGTAATCTGTGGTTTTGAAGTCTATCTATTTCTTACCATTATTTCTCAGCCAGAGGTCTGATCAAGGACTCTTGATTTTGTTTCCTCTTTGATCAACCTTAGTAACAAGTTCAAAAAGGCATTGAGGATGGTGTAATCTTGTTAGGAGAACTAAGGTATAAGGAACTGACTTCTAGATATATGTTGAAGCAGTGTTTATGTTTTTCTGTGGAAATAGTTGCCAGGTTCGGCTACTAATTAATTGTGTGTTCTAAGAAAAGGGGAAAAGAAGAAAAGAACTAACATTTGTTGAAAATCTATTATGGGTTGGGCACTGTGTTTACTTATGTTAGCTCATTTAATACTCAGAATAAATAGCTCTTCAGGAGTTATCTTCATTTTTTAGGTAAAATAGTTGAAAGGAAAGGGGTTAAATGTCTGAATAAAGGTTACTAGCTAGTAAGTAACAAAGCTGGAATTTGAACCTAGTTCTATACCATCCATAAATCTCTCTGGGGCTCAGAGTCCTTTTTGTACTGAACAATATGAAGAAGTTGTGTTTTATTGGTTTTTTTTAGAGATACTTTATCTTTTGCATGGGAAAAATGTCAGACCACATTTAAAACTGATCCTGATCTTTAAATTGCAATTATATATTGTCCTAACTTGTTGATATTATGATGTGCTTTTTCCCTCAAATTCTCAGACTTTTTTTTTTACATGCACTCTTCCTCTAAAACGTAAATGTCAGATAAGAATGAATTAGGAACTAGACTTTTCAATTACTTTCTGGGAAGATGCCCTTTTTATTTTCTTCTCATGAAACCACTCTTTTACTGTATAGTATTTTTCCTTTTTTTCTAGAAGGAAAAAATAGGTTAATTCAAAATTCAAATTCCTCCTCATTTGTTGGTTCCACTCTGGGTTTTAATTTTTTTTCTAATTTAAATTTTATTTTTATATTCCCCATACAATTACAACTCCCTTATTTTGACCCCAATCCTTCCTTTCCCCGCCCCCCACCCCCTATGGAGTGTCTCTGGTTCATAGTTGTTTGTTGATTTTGATTTTTTCTTTCATATAGTTATTCTCTTTTTTTTAAAAATAAATTTTATTTTTATATTCCCCATACAACTGCAACCCCCTTATTTTGACCCAAATCCTTCCCCTCCCCGCCCCCCCACCCCCCATAGAGTGTCTCTGGTTCATAGTTTTTTGTTGATTTTGATTTTCACTTTCTTATAGTTATTCATTTTCCTGGTCCCTTATTTAAGTTTTCTAGATTCCTGCTATGAGTGAGACCATCCAGTATTTTTCTTTTTCTTTCTGGCTTATTTCGCTGAGCATGATCCCTTCCAGCGCCATCCATGTTGCTGCAAATTGCATGTGTTTATCTTTTTTGAATGCTGAGTAATATTCCATGGTGTCTATGTACCACATCTTCTTGATCCAGTCATCTATTTTTGGGCATTTGGGTTGTTTCCAAAGCTTCGCTATTGTAAATAGTGCTGCTATAAACATAGGGGTGCAGGTGCTCTTTGGAATTGATGTTTCTGTGTCCTTTGGGTAAATTACCTAGGAGTGGAATTGCTGGATCATGTGGGAGCTCCATCTTTAGCAGGTTGGGAAATCTCCACACAGCTCTCCATAGTGGTTGGACCAGTTTGCACTCCCACCAACAAACAGTGCAGGAGAGTTCCTTTTTCTCCACAACCTCGCCAACATTTGTTGTTGCTGGTTTTTTTAATATGTGCCATTCTCACTGGTGTGAGATGATATCTTATTGTAGTTTTGATTTGCATTTCCCTGATTACAAGTGATGTTGAACATTTTTTCATATGCCTGTTTGCCATTTGCATTTCCTCTTTGGAGAAGTTTCTTTTTAGCTCTTCTGCTCATTTTTTGACTGGATTATTTTCTTTGTTTTTGTTGAGTCTCATCAGCTCTTTGTTGATTTTTGTGATCAGTCCTTTATCATTAGTGTTGTGTGCAAAAATGTTCTCCCAGTCGGTGGGGTTTCTCTTTGTTTTGGTTATTGTCTCTTTTGCTGTGCAGAAGCTCTTTAATTTGATGTAGTTCCAGCTGTTTATCTTTGCCTTCGCTATCACTGCTTTGGGTGATGTGTCTGTAAAGATGTCTTTGATGTGCATATCACGTAGTGTTTCGCCTATATTTCCTTCTATGTATTCTATGGTTTCAGGTCTTATGTATAGTTCTTTAATCCATTTTGAGTTGGTTTTTGTGCATGGTGTTAGGTAGTAGTCAAGCTTCATTCTTTTGCATGTAGCGACCCAGTTTTCCCAGCACCATTTATTGAACAAACTTTCTTTGCTCCAATGCATATTCTTTGCTCCTTTGCCAAAGATTAGTTGACCATAAATCTGTGGGTTTATTTCTGGATTTTCTGTGGGTTTATTTCTGGATTCCATTGGTCTGTGTGTCTGTTCTTGTTCCGATAACATGCAGTTTTGATGATTATGGCTTTGTAGTATAGTTTGAAGTCTGGGAGTGTGATGCCTCCATTCCCTTCTTTTTTTTTCAGGAGAGCTTTGGCTGTTCGGGGTTTTTGGTGATTCCATATGAATTTCATCAATAATTGTTCTATTTCTTTGAAGAATGACATTGAGATTTTGATTGGAATAGCATTGAATCTGTATATTGCCTTTGGTAGGATGGCCATTTTAATAATGTTTATTCTTCCAATCCATGAGCAGGGGATGTCTTTCCATTTCTTTGTGTCTTCTTCTATTTCTTTTAACAGTGTTTTATAGTTTTCTTTGTATGGGTCCTTTACCTCTTTTGTTAGATTTATTCCCAAGTATTTGATTTTTTTTTTTGTTTTGATAATAAAAGGGATGGGTTTTTTGATTTCTTCTTCTTCAGATTTATTGTTTGTGTATAGGAAGGCTACTGACTTTTGCGTGTTGATTTTGTATCCTGCCACTTTACTGAACTGATTGATTTGTTCAATTAGTTTTTCTGTGAAGTTTTTGGGGTTCTCTATGTATGTTATCATATCATCTGCAAATAGTGATAGTGTGACTTCTTCTTTTCCTATTTGGATTCCTTGTATGTCTTTCTCTTGTCTTATTGCTCTGGCTAGGACTTCCAGTATTATACTGAAAAGCAGTAGTGAGAGTGGACATCCTTGTCTTGTTCTAGATCTTAATGGGAATGCTTTCAGCTTTTCACCATTGAGAATGATACTGGCTGTTGGCTTGTCATATATGGCCTTTATGATGTTGAGGTATGTTCCTTGTATCCCAAGAATTTCAAGGGCTTTTATCATGAATGGGCATTGCACTTTGTCAAAAGCTTTCTTGGCATTATTGATACTATCATATGGTTTTTATATTCCTTTTTGTTGATGTGTTGGATAACGTTGATTAATTTTTGGATGTTGAACCATCCTTGTGTCCCTGGAACGAATCCTACTTGGTTGTGGTGAATTATCTTATGGATACATTGTTGGATTCTGATAGCTAAAATTTTATTGAGGATTTTTGCATCAGTGTTCATTAGCGAGATTGGCCTGTAGTTTTCTTTTTTGTGTTGTCCTTGTTCGGTTTTGGTATTAGTGTAATGTTGGTTTCATAGAACGTGTTTGATATTATCCTTTCCTTCTCAATTTTTTGGAAGAGTTTGTGAAGGATAGGCACTAATTCGTTTCTGAATGTTTGGTAGAATTCATTTGTAAATCCATCATGTCTTGGGCTTTTGTTTTTGGGAAGGTTTTTGATTACCATTTCAGTTTTGCTGCTTGTAATTGGTCTGTTTAGGTGTTCTATTTCTTCTTTATCTAGCTTTGGGTGATTGTAGAGTTGTAGGAATTTGTCCATCTCCTCTAGATTGTTGAACTTGTTTCCATATAACTGTTCATAATAGTTTCTGATTATTCTTTTGATTTCTGTTGTGTCCATTGTGATTTCTCCTCTTTCATTTGTGATCCTGTTTATTTGTGCTTTCTCCCTTTTTTCCTTTGTGAGCCTGGCTAGGGTTTGTCTATTTTTTTTTTTTTTTTCAAAGAACCAGCTCTTGTTTTCATTGATCTTTTGGATTGTTTTTTTTAGTTTCAATTTCATTTATTTCTGCTTTGGTTTTTATTATTTCTTTTCTTCTACTGGTTTTGGGGTTTTTTTGTTGTTCTTTTTCTAGTTCTTTGAGCTTCGAGATTAGGTTGTTTCTTTGAGTTCTTTCTTGTTTCTTGATGTGAGCCTCTCGCTATATATTTTCCTCTTATTACTGCTTTTGCTGCATCCCATGCATTTAGGAAATTGGTGTCCTCCTTGTCATTCAATTCAAAGAATTTTTTAATTTCTTCTTTGATCTCATTAGTCCAGTGGTCTTCCAGTAGTGTGGGTTTCAATCTCCATGAGGTAGAAGAGTTCCTTGCCTTCTTTTTATGGTTTATTTCTTGTTTGATGCCTTCATGGTCAGAAAAGATGCTTGGTATGATTTCAGTCTTGGTGTATCTGTTGATGTTTGTCTTGTGTCCCAGTATGTGATCGATCCTGGAGAACGATCTGTGTGCGCTTGAGAAAAATGTGTGCTCAGATTTTTTTGGGTTTAGTGTTCTATAGATGTCTGTTAAGCCCAATCACTTTAGATCCTTATTTAGAGCTTTAGTGTCTTTACTTATTTTTTGTCTTGTTGATCTATCCATTGTTGATAGTGGTGTGTTGAAGTCTCCTACTACATAACGTGTTTTCTCTGATGTTTATTTTCAAAGATGACAACAGTTGTCTGATATATTTTGGTGCTCCTTCGTTTGGTGAGTATATGTTAATGAGTGTTATTTCTTCTTGAAGTATTGTCCCCTTGATCATAATGTAGTGACTGTTGGGGTCTCTTTTTACCTTTTTGAGTTTGAAATCTGTTTTATCTGATATAAGTATAGCTGTTCTTGCTTTCTTTTTTGGTCCATTTGCTTGTAGGATTGTTTTCCATCCTTTAACTTTGAGTCTATTTTTATCTTTTGTAGCTAAATGTGTTTCCTGGAGACAGCAAAAGGTTGGGTTTTGTTTCTTAATCCAGCCTGCGACTCTGTGTCTTTTTATTGAAGAGTTTAGTCCATTTACATTTAGAGTTAATATTGATATGTTAGCATCTGTATTTGCCTTTGTGTTTGTCTTTCCTTTGATTTTATTTATTTATTCTTTTAATAAATTTTTTATTTTTTGGCCTTCTTTCGTTGTTATTTGTCCTTCTGAGATTCTGGCTTTAGGACTTCTTGTAGTGTTTTTTGGAGTGGGGGTTTAGTCGTAATGAAATTCCAGAGTTTCTGTTTGTCTGGGAAAGTCCTTATTCTTTCTTCATAGAGAAAGGAAAGCTTTGCAGGATAGAGTATTCTTGATTGGCATCTGTTGTCTTGAAGTCTGTTGACTATGTCCCTCCACTCTCTCCTTGTCCGTAGTGTTTCTTCGGAGAAGTCTGATGTCAGTCTGATTGGTTTTTCTTTGTATGTTATCTGTTTCTTCTCTCTTGTCAGCTTCATTTTTTTTTTCCTTGTCTTGGATTCTTGGGAGCTTTACTATTATGTGTCTTGCTGTATTTTTCCTTTCATCATGGAAGTCTGGTGTTCTTCTTGCTTCTTGTATATCAATTTTCAGTTCCTTCTTCATGTTTGGGACGTTCTCTTCAATTATTTCCTTGAATATTTTCTCTGTTCCTAGGTCTCTGTCCTCTCCTTCTGGATTCCTATAACTCTTATATTTCCTTTCCTCATGGAGTCAGATAGTTCCCAAAGTCTTTCTTCGGTCTTTTTCCTTTGTACTTCTCTTTCCTTCTCTGTTTTGGTTCTTTTTATTTCTGTGTCTTCGAGAGTGCTTATTCGTTCTTCCATTTCCTCTATTCTGTTATCACTGCTTTTTCCAGCATTCTTTAGCTCTTCTGTTAATCCTTTGATCTCCTGCATTTCCTTCATTTCCCTCTTTAGGGACTCAGTTTCATTCTTCTGAGTATTGCTTTCCTTAATGACTTCCATCAGTTTTTTCATTACGGCAATTTTTTTTTTTTTTTTTTTTTTTTTTTTAGATTTATTTATTTATTTCATTTTATTTATTTATACATGCACTGGGTACAGTCAGAAGCGCGGGAGGGTGAGAGAATTCACCAGAGCCAGAGCGGGGAGCAGAGCAGGCAGAAGGACCGAAGTACACTGCTGAGGGGAGCAGCGGGCGGCAGGAGAGGTCCGCGCGCCATGTGGGACCCTCCTCCAGTGGCCTGGGAGCAGCCTGGGATCGAACCGGCGCTGCAGAGGCTGTGGGCAGCTTCGCAACCCAGCGCTCAACCGCTGCGCCACCGGGGAGGCCCCATCACGGCAATTTTAAATTCTTTTTCTGGAAGGCTCAGAAGTTCTTCAACTCACTGTAGTTGCAAACCGGTGGGTGGTTTGTTTTTTTGTGGTGTGTTTTTTCTCTGAGGCATTGCTACTTTGCTTGTAGTTTTTCTTTTCTCTGCTGCCTGTCTTCTAATTTGCCTTATGCGTTGGGACACTGTGCCGCTGGTACTGGCTGGCATCTTTTGGTGTGTTCTTTCAGGAGTTTCAGAAACTGGCAATCCAAACAAGTCAAAAACTGTTACGCCAGAAGTCTAGTGAGGCAGTGGTACTTTGAGTATGTTAATGGTCACTGTCACAGAATCTCTCCTCCTTCTGTGTTTAGTTAAAAAGGTACGTCTTGATGTCCCACAGACTTCTCTGGAGGTGGGGCAGCTCCCAAATCCAAATCTCTGGATCCTCCTCTGGGCTCCAACTTCCTGCCAGGTGGGACCGGGCTTGTGGGGACCTTCAGCTCACCTCTGACTGTGCAGGGAACCTTCTCCCTCTGGCTCTACAGGGAGCCTTCTGCCAGATTCAAGCAGTCTTTATTGAAGAAAGGTCCCTGTTCTAAAATGGTGCTTTGGAGACAGGTACATTCTTCCGTGTGCCCTGTCTGCCCTGGCCGTGGGTGCCTGCACCCCCTATGGGTTCGGACTGCTGGCCTGAAGGAGCGTGGCATGGGCAAACTTACTAGCTTACCTCTGGCTCCTCCAGGAGCCTTCTGGCTGTTTCAAGCAGTCTTTATTGAAGAAAGGTCCCTATTCTAAAATGGCGATTCAGAGACAGGCACACTCTTCTGCGTGCCAGGTCTGCCCCGGTCCTGGATTCCCACTCCGCCTCTGGGTTCGGACTGCTGGTCAGAAGGGGCCTGGCTTGGGCGAACTTCCCAGCTCACCTCTGACTCCTCTGGGAGCCTTCTGCCTGTTTCAAGCAGTCTTTACTGAAGAAAGGTCCCTATTCTATGGGGTGTTGGTGATTTTTTTTCTGGTCGCTAGGTGGTGCCAGAGATCTCTCCTGGTGTCCTTGGGGAGCTGTTTTTTTTACCCCGTGGGACAGGGGAACAGAGTGGGAGTGGTGGGGAAAGCATCAACAGCTTTGGGGTGCTGTGTCTCCTTGTGCCCCACGGTCATGGGGATCCCACGCCCTGAATTTCATGCTCCGGGTCTCAGTTCCAAAGCCCTCAAGTACAGGATGCGGGCTGTAGCCCAGTTCAGTGTCCGCAGAAATGGCTCCTTCTGCACCCTGCTCCCGTGTCCGGGCGCCTGGTTTCTGATTACTCAGTGAGGGACATTTACCTCAGTGAGGGCCCCCAAGCGTCTCCCCGCAAGCTAGGTCGCAGGCATGGGGACCTGGGCAGCCGCGATCCGCGTATCCTTTTCAAGCGCGTGGCTTTTCCTCACAAGCTTACCGGCTGGCCTGGGGCTGTGTGTAGGTCTCCTGGAGTCTTTGTTTTTCTCTAATGGCACCTGGAGCCTTTCACTCACCTCCGCAGCAAATCCTACAGGGTTCTCCACAGCTCCAGTTCACAGTTCACGGGGTGTGGTGGCTGAAATAGTTCCTTTCCACTCACAGTCCCGCTTGATGCATAGTTTGTTCTTGTTGGTTGTTTTAGTTTTTTTGTTTTTTCCTCCTCTCTGTTGGTTGGAGAGTGCCAACTTTGTGGGTGGGGGAGGGTAGCAGGATTCTGAGCTTTCCTCCCTTCTAGTCCTCTTCTATGGCAACTTTCCTCTTCCGGCAGTTTGCTGGAGTCACCCGTTTATCCTCCATGTCCCAGTTCCCACTGGGACCTGCCGCTTTTCCTCCCTATTAACTTCCTTTTTAATGGGAGATCTTACTCGCAGCGTCTCCTTGCCGCCATGTTGATCCGCCCAGCTCTCTGGGTTTTAATTGTGAGTTAATTGGATTCATCTCAACTAAAATCTACACAAATATCTACCAACAATATAACACAATTGCTATGTTTGTCTTTTTATTTATATGAATTTTTTTTAGCAACCATCAAGGTGCTACACCATTAGTTCTGGCAAAGCGCAGGGGAGTGAATAAAGATGTCATTCGATTGCTGGAATCTTTGGAAGAACAAGAGGTAAAAGGATTTAACAGAGGAACCCACTCAAAACTGGAAACCATGCAAACAGCAGAGAGTGAGAGGTATTTACGATATAATTTTTGAAGGGGCAAGTCATTTTAAGGATTTGGATCTTTTATGACATTGTGAGTTTTCTGTTCATATGCTTTCAAGTACAGAACTTTGATGCTTTCTTTGAATTTTATATGGCTCCAGATTACAATTGAGAAGCTGTTAACAGAGAGAATACCATGTGCCCATGCACTGTTAGCCACTGTGCTAGGAAGCCTGCTATATTGGATATGAGAGAAGGAAATAGGAGTTTAGAATTTTAAGTAGGGGTGTCACAAAAAGATTGGAATTTAAAAAAAGGAGCAGAAAGATAAGTAAGTCTGAAACTAGAATAATATTGAAAAGAATAATGGTAGTTTCAAAGATAGGAATAGGGGTGATAAGGAAAGTAAAATGGGAATATAAATGACTTTCACATAAGTTGGAACAAATGAAATTTGTGCTCTTGTAAGTAATTTAAGCTAAGATATGGTGACTGACTGAGTCTTAAAAATATTTCATCGCTTCTCATCAAAAAGCAGTTTAGGATGCTACTCATGGAGCCTGCAAAGGTGAAAAACCATCTTTCTCTTGGCTTCACTGGCATGACAGATAAAATTGCTAGGTTAGACTCAGTTGTACTACCATGTAGTTTGGTTGATGGTCATGGATTTTCAGGCCTTCCAGATCATACTAGGTGAAAGAATGATGGACTTAACTATATAGTCTCCTAAAATTTTCAGTGGAATGTACTTCAAGGGCCTTTATCGGCTATTTATCAGTAGCTGACTGACCAGAGCTTGGATTTAGCATCATTAGCCCACTTCTACCATTAGGATCATTGTTGTAAGTCAAAGATGGATTCACAAGTACTTTTTCTCTCACCTGTGTACTCTGAATCTATAGTCAGAATCTATAGTTAGAATGTTGTAGCATTTTAATAACATTAAGTTACAGATCATGTTGTTCCAAAATAACTTGAAATTTGTCTTCATCTTTCTATAAAATGGTAGTAAATGACTTTAAATTTCTTTACTATGAAAAATGTCTTTGAATGTGGTTTTGCTTGATGTTTTTTGGACCTCATTTGGTATGTTTGTTAATAACTATTTTCTTAGCACCTCTTTATCAGAAATATATTTTTAACTTTATTTTGCCTTAGCTGTGATTACTTATTAACTAAGAAATGATGAGCAATATTTAACCCTGCTTCTTTCATATACCTGCCATTTCAACAGGTATTTGAAAATTTGTATTATTCAGCATGCGAAATTATATTATTTATAGCATTGTGTAAAGCCAGTTCTTCAAAAATTGGATTATTAATACATGTTCTACCTGGTTGTCGTATTTTTTGCCTGCCTCTTAATGTCAAGAGAGAAATGCAGTGGTTGAAACTTAAATTAAAAGGCTTTAAGTCAACATCATTAGTTGCCTTAAAATGCTTGTTGAAACCACAGTGAACTAGGACTTCATACCCTCTAGGATGGCTGTAATAAACAAGATGGATAATAACAAATGTTGGTGAGGGTGTGGAGAACTTGGAACACTCATATACTGCTGATAGGAATGTAAAATAGTAGAGTTGCTTTGCAGTCTGGCAGTTCTTCAAAGAGTTGCATAGTGTTACCACATGACACAACAATTTCACTTCTAGGTGTAGACCAAAGAAAACTGAAAACATGTCCACACATAAACTTGTTCACAGATGTTCATAGAAGCATTATTCCTAATAGCCAAAAAGTGGAAACCACCCAAAAGTCCATCAACTGAAGAATGGATAAATAGCGTCGTCTATCCAGTGGAATATTCCTATTTCCCACTCCTCCATGTGTCCTAAATTTAATTTAGTTCCCTTTTACTTTGTTGGTATGGGATGGCAAAAACAGTGTAGGTCACAACATGTACAAACAAAATATTACATATGCTCACGGGCACACCATCAGCTAGCATCAGCGTTTCCTGGACAATGGAAAACATATCACTGAGTACAGTCATTAGAAAATTCCAATTGGCAGTCTTCATGAGCTCATAGAAGATACTCAACTGAAATTCTCTTATTTGAGTTTTCTTAAATTTCTGTATTGGTACAGACTCCCATGAAAGTGTCTGGTGTTATTCAGAGAATAAACATCTTTTAATATAAAGAAAGTTTGGATGTCAAGCACACTGGCCTTTAGGAAATCAGCCTTGTATGATTAGAGAAGCTCTCTAATACTGATACAGCCAGGAAGACCTATAATAAATAGTGTCCAAAAGTGAATTAAAATTGTGAGTTAAAAAAGATATCTATCTTGCATGGTGAACCATACTCTAAGAAGTTGTTTTATGCTGAGTCCACTGTGCTCAGATGGTTGGATGGATATGCAGAGAAGGGGGTTAAATACTTGATAATATAATTATGGTTACAGTGACTTTAGTCATACTGTGACTGTGGGATACTTGTTATTGGGCCCACATTTTGTAACATCATCTGAGTGATAATCCCTTAGAGTTTTGAATTCATCACAATGTGCCTTTCTAAATACTAAACTCAGATATATTGTTCTCTTTTTGTAGCATTCATATTTCTCGTTAATATGGTTCTGAAAACCAGAATCAGTATTTTCATGGTATTTGTGCTAGACTTTGCAATTAGGCAGAAGAGAAATAAACTGTGTATTATTAAGACAAAACCAGTAGGAGGAAACTGTTTAGAATTCATGACTAGAGGATTGCAGTTAAAGGAAGATATTCCTTCATTGGTCAGATTATTGAACTAAATACAAATCTCCTTTTAAGATTTATACACTGCCTAAATTTTTTAGATTTACCCTCTTTGCTTATTTTTACTACCATGAATTCTCAAACTGAATGTCCGTATTGAATTCTTCTAAACTTAAAATAGTCAATATGTGTTTTGGTTTAGCATCTGATGAAACAACTCATATGACTTCAAGTCTTCTGCATGAGAGCCTTTTACTAGGAAAGGATTTTTAATTTTGACTCTGCTAGATATTAAACCAAGAAGCATAATTATTGTGGTTTAGCAATTGACACTTTAAGTTAGACTGTGAGATTATATATGTATCTTCTAAGTGTCATGTAGTAAGGGTGGTCTTTTCTAAAAGCAGTTCCTGTCGTTTCATATTTTTGAAATAGGTAAAATGTGTTTCGTGTTCTTTCTTTTCTCTTTGCTTCTCTAACAGTGCCATGGAAAGCCATTCTCTGCTCAATCCCAACCTACAGCAAGGGGAAGGAGTCCTGTCCAGCTTCCGAACCACATGGCAAGAATTTGTAGAAGATCTGGGTTTCTGGAGGGTGTTGCTTTTGATCTTTGTTATTGCTCTGCTGTCTCTTGGCATCGCCTACTATGTGAGTGGGGTACTCCCCTTTGTAGAAAACCAGCCAGAACTGGTGCACTAAAGTTGCTCAGGAGATGAGGCACATGCAGGTGTCCTGGCTTCCAATACTTGTTCCCAGTGTCTCAAAATTTTTCTCTTAGTGCAAGGCAGTGAGGGCTGTACAAATTTTTTTTTTTGCATTTTTATGTATTGTAGTCCTTTTAGAAAAACATCTTTTGAACTAACTACATACTATAGTCGAGTATACTTCATCCTAAAGCTACCTCTGACTCAACCTGACTTCTTCAGAAACTGTACACTTAGGAAAGTCTACATTCTGATAACCCGTGGAGATGGCGAAAGAAGGAAAGAGAAAGGAAGAGACTAGGAAGTCCTTGCTATAGAAACCTTATCCTAACATAGGAGCAACTACAGTGAAGTGTTCAAAAAGGTTTTCTTATAATATTAGTTTTGGTTGGTGGTGGTGTTTTTGTTTAATTTTGCAAGAGCCCCTTTTATCTTTTTATTTGCAGTATCTGGGAACGGGGGAGAGAATGAAACATTCAGCTTAAAACTTGAAGTATTTTTTTCAGATCCTGTACAGTAAATCAGTATTGTTGGAATCTGTTTGGTTTGTTTTAATAGTTTTAAATCTAGTCACAAACCAAATAGAACTTTTGAAGATGAGCTGTATTTTTTCCAAAAATATTTGATTTGATCTTGTATTTATTTTTTTAGAATAATTTTGATTTTTTTGTAAATTGCTTTGGTTGTGGCTAATATCTATAGAAAATTGGACTTAGGAGTTCATTTTGTTCAGTTTCTCAAGCGTAGTCATCAAAAATACAATCAGAAACTTTTTACTCAGTAGTTAGTAAGGAAAAATAATTCTGATATTTAACTGTCATTGTAATTGTGTAGTGCTATTATTGTGGTAAAAAAAAATACAGTTCTATAAGCTAGCTGTGTTGTCACAATTGTACCATAGCTCATAATTATTTCATTTTATGTGCAATTCTGTTTAGAAGCCATGTTAGAATTGTCCTACCACCCCGATCCGTGTCAGTAATTCTCTGATGGCAAGAGTGGATGTAGTATTTCTGAACTAACAGCATTGAACACCGTTATGCTATGTGTCATAAACTCTTTATGAATGATAATATTGTGAATTTGAAATCTGGCACCCAAAATATATTGTAACTTTCAGCAATGTGTTTGAAAATCTCTTGTTAATGATTCTGTTGTGTATAAGACATTTTCTTGAATTATTAAAAAAAAAATAAAGACTTGATAATTATTCATTAGGTATAGTCAGAAAGTTGTAGTGAAAAGAACTGACATTCTTATTTTATAGAACAAAGTAATCTAAGCTACTGCTAATTGAATTGTTGCTAGAATTAGAGTTTATACTTTAGAATAGAATTAGATTTCTGTGATTCTTTTTGCTGCTTGATATTTTCTCTTTTGTATTTATCTATCTAGGATGTGACTTTATCCTCTCAAAAATTTCTGATTTAACTGGCTGCTTCAGGATCAGCTCACAGAGTCTTGCTTTTAGCTTAGATACAAACAAAATAAATTACATTTGATGGAAATACAGCAAAAATGGTGTACTTTAAAATGAGGAACACTTAGAACTCAAAATCAAAGTATATTTAGAATGAAAGCTTTGGAGTTAGCTTTACATTTGTTTGTAAATCTAAACAAATATGCAAAATTGATTAGCATATATGGACTATATCACATTCCTTAAAGGTTAATGTTTTAATTGCTGATTTCTTTGTATTTCTCTACATTCAGCATTCAGCAGTACTACCAATAAATGTCTTTATAATCTCTTAATCACAATCTATATTCTTACTGTTTTTTTCTTTTAATTTAAGCTTTTTTAAAAATGGATTGCAGTTGGCTTCTTAAAAAACAAAGAACTTCTTTTCAAACCTGATGTGATAAGTGTGTCAAATTTCATGCCTTGTAAATGCTCTGAAACTAATTTGGGTGAATTATAGATTTCAGGGTAATATTAACTGCCAAGATTAAGTATTCCCAGTTACACAAGTCATTATGTTACAGGGCAGCCCCAATATTGAACGGGTTGCTTGGCTGTGGGTCCTCACCTGCGCGCTTACAAGGGACTTATGAATACTCCACTACAGGCACACACATAAGGTTAATAAAAGGTTTATTTACAAGGGAAAGGAAATAAGGAAAATGTACAACTCAGGGAGAAAATAGGGAAATAAAGTCTTTAATGTGTCCTACCCGATCCGCCGACCTGGAAACCCAAAGGCACTCTCCGAGCTGGCCGGAAGCTGTGAGCTGGCGGAGAGTCAAAATGGGGGACCCCTCCAAAGCCCACGTGTCTGGCTTTATACCAACCTGGCTGCTTAACCCCACCCTCAGGTCCCAGCCACCTTCCCTTTGGTGGTGATGGGATTTGGAGTTCCCAGTGTCTTTGGCTTTGGCCTGGAGTGGGGGTGGAGTCCACAAAGCCTGTATGGAATTAGCTTTAGGACAGCCTTTTCCCCCTAACAATTACACACCTCATCTCATTTCATCCTTACCCCACCCCCCAATATACACACACACTTCCACAGTTTGTAAGATGAGTAAACTGATACAGGGAAGGTTAAGTAACTTGTTGAAGGTCACCTATATTTTTTTCTTTCCAGATAAAATAGCTTTTTACCTTTTGCAAGTTTACTCTAACAAGCTGCATTTGTGAACTGTGGCATCATTATTTCATAGTATGCCTGTCCCTGATGGAAGAAATACAGAGTCTTAAGAGTGTGAAACACTTTACATAAGAGCATGTGGGCTCTCCGCCAGCACAGCCTGCCTCACATTTACCTCAAGTTTAAAAAATAGCATAGGTGCTTTTTGTTACCCCTGGGTATAGAAGTCCAGGAACAATATTTATCTGTTGTTTTCTTTATTAACTAGGACTCAGTCTTCGACTTACGAAATTGTTTATCTATCAAAGTGCCTTCAGTTGCAAGAAGCCAAAATCCAAATTCAAAGTAATTTAAACCATAGGAAATTTATTGATTTATGTAACTGGAATCCAGACATAGGGTAGACCCCAAGTCCAAATTTAGTTCAGTTCTCTTGTGCCTGTGGCTCTGCCCTCCTGTTGGTTTCACCCTCCAGCTGATTCTGAGATGAATCCATAATTTTCAAGTCTCACCTCCATTTGTAATGCTGTAGTGGAGAAGACAGAGACCATCTTCCCTGTAGTTCCCCGCTAGGAGACTTCCCTGTGAATCCCCGTCAGACATCCTCCCAGTTTCTTGTTCTAATCTCAGAATAGCTAATGATATGTGCTGGTTGATTAGGTCCAGTAGGGGTGTGACTGGTCAAATTAATATGATTTACTTGGTAGAAGGATTATGATTGGTTTGGACCAATGGCTATAGAGGTGACTGGAGGTACTGCTGGCAAGCACTGGGCAGGAACCATCAGTGTTTTATGTCCCACAGCACACAGGACAATTTAGCACAACAAATTGTTCCACATCCCACATCATACTTGAATTTTTTGCTGAGCATTCATATGGGTTAAAAAATAAAAAACCCTGTCAGTTATCTGAGCTTCAAGTCCAGCTTCATTTTACATCTAAGTTGAAGTATTTTAATACAGTTTTAATTAATATACCCTGAGTTTTCAAAAAATTGAGGGAAGATTCTACTTCTTTTGTCCCAAACTTGAACAAGAATTGTACCTATTTGAACAACTCTTGTCACTGGCAGCAGTGCTGCTATTGCTAATGGAGTCACTGACATAATGATATATATATAGGCCTGGTGACTTCTAGTGTGTTTGTGCCTGAGCATATAAATATTGAAATATACATTTTATCAATTTCCCATTATTTTTACTTTTATGATGTACATTAAATCATTTTGCTAATTTCAGTAATTGCTCTCTCTTATCTGGGACCTAAAATACACTTATTTAGTCATCTTGGTGCACCTTTTCCAAATAATAATCTTGGAGGGTACACCAGGAAGTAGTATTTTTCAATGTTAGACACTGGAAAAAGTCCAGCATCTACTTAAACCACTTTTAAAACTGTCAGGTTGAAACAGTTCCAGGTGTACTGGGTGAAGTTGAATTTTGAAATTAAGCCCATTCCTCTGTGCTCTGAAGTAGATTCAAAACAGTTTTCTGGCCTTGCCATGGGTTCCATCTTGACTCGTCTCAGCCGCAGATAGGCCAGGATTCTGTTCCTCTTTGGATTTTTCACATCGCAACTGGACAGCTCCACAGCCCAAGACATGGGTCTACATTCACCAGGCCATACTTATTAGATGTCAAGGATTGCAGCCTAGAGTATTTTGTTGCCTAATACTCTTTAAAAACTTAACTGATAACAATATTTAGAGAACATTGTTTAGAAGATGTTTTGGATCAACACTCCACTTTCTGCCTGATGACAGTTTTATATCTGCTACCCAGAGCACTAGCCATTTGTCACTTGTGGTAATTTCAATGGATTATTAGACACTGAATTTAGACTTGCAGCTAGATGTTCAGTTAACACAATTATCAGAGCCTAAAACCCAAGCCCATTTTACTTTTCAAAATAAAACTAGCTACATGTGTACCGCTCAGTAGCCACAAGAGGCTACTCAATTGGACAACACAGATACAGAATATTTCCATTCTTGAAGAAAATTTTTGGGAAAGCACTACCCTAAAACCCACCTTAGACTCAGGTGAGTGTCAAGCTGGATTGGTCTGTATTATCACAGTGTCCAACCCTAACTACTTTTACTGAATTCTTTGCTATTAAGTGATCGCACTACACACTGCTCATTAACTCTTAATCTTCACAAGTTGCTGGTGTCGAGATACACAAAGTTAGACTCGCCCTTGCCGTCTGTGTACTTCAGCATTTAACCAACACACTGCCCTGCTCATTCAGCTGGTCCTGTCATGAGCCCAGGGTGTGCTTCTCTGTGACCCAGCCTCCATTTGTTTCTGAAAAGGAGAATCACCACAACCCTATCATAGCCTCTTAAACATTTTAAGTGAGCAGTTTCACTTCTTGAAAAACAATTCATATCAAATAATACTTTGTTTTACAAAGCACCTTACACCATGGAAATGCTTTGAGAAAACTGAACAGGAGTTCCCTAGTAGTCCTGCTGTCACCACATTTGCACTGGTTAATCACAATACTTTTGTTTATTAGAACAGCTATTTCTTCAGTCCCACAGTTGCTGCATGCTTTTAATTCAAGGTAGGAAATTGAGGGTTGCAGGAACATTTTAAATGTAAACCCTGGAGTAATAAAATGCCCTGCTTGATAGTGCTTAGCGAGGCCATTTACTGCCTACTGTGTCGGAGATGTCTTGTGGGTATTAATTGAACTCTTCAACATGTTTTTCAGTGTGTCCTCTCCCACATCTTTGGAAGCAGTTCTAAAAAGGCATTCTGTGAAAACAGGAGAATAACACAAGATAAAAACATCATTGCATCTGCTTAGGAATCACGTATTTAGGGGTGTACAATGGGTTCTTCTCTACCCTTTTCTGCCTAAAGACGTTTTGTTTTTAATCTAGGTTACTTTGTCATGTCCAAATTAGTCTAAGAAACAAGTTAATATTAAGCACTGACCTAGAATAATTCCAACTTGAAATATGCAATAGTAAATCCACTGAGATTTAAAAATAAATGGATACATTCTCCATTTGCTAGAATCATTACAAACTAAAGTGTAGGTATGCTATTTTATGAGTAAGTGTGTTTCAGCAAATTTCAAGTGTTAACTTTTTAAGTCTCTTCTACAGTACCCTTTAATGTGATTTTAAAGTTGTTGTGATAGGCACAAAAGATGCTTATGTGTTTTTGTATGTGATCATAAGCCAAATTAAAAATTCCTTTTTGGAGGTTCAAGAGTAATTGCTAGCCTAATTCCCTTGCATCGCCATGCTATACATTACACGTAGCTAGAGGTATAGCATTACAGAGTGTATTATTTCTTCCTTAAATTGGGCTATGAGAAGGTTATTTTCTTCACTATAAAAATTAATATTCCCTCTTTGAGGATTGATTTCTAAATTTGAAGACTCTGGGTCAGAGTTGACTGGACTGTTTCACTGAAATTTCAGCCCCTAAGAAATAAAAATAGGTTTTGAAATAGTTTCTAGGTCACTGGCACAGAAAGCTGGCAAAAAGCTATAACTTACTTTGGATAGTTCTAGTTAGTACAATTCCATCAGCACAGGCTGTTCTTTTAGACTGTGATTCAAGTTTAGGAGAAAATAACAGGGATTTCCAAATTCTTAACTTTGTAAGTATGGGTTTAGATGATTCTCCTTTATTTTAGTAGATCCCCTGACTTGGGGAAGGGGAGATGTAGTTCATCAGATATCGGTTCTATTTTTCACCTTACTGAACTGTCCACATTCATTTGTTAAAGTTCCCATTCAGTGTAGTTATTCTGGGAAATGTCAACCTGGAATTGACAGATCCCAGTTCTACTAAATATGGACTGACCTTGGTCAAATAATTGAAGCTTTCTGAACTTGGCTTCATCTGTGAAACAGAAATAATACCTACCTTACAAACTTCTAATGAATAAAAGTAACTCTTCCACTTGAGTTTTGTGTGTGTGCTAGGCCCCACAATAGTTAATACAGCTGTGAGGCCCATAGAAAAAGCAAAGGTAAAATATTATGTTTCCTATGGTCATGGACTAGACCAAACCAGGAGTCTGGGGCTAATTCCAGTGATTCAGCCAGAGCCGCTGGAATGGGGCGCTTCTGTTTAGTGAGCTGAGGCATCCATGTGTACCCACACCTGGCACTGTACAGGGGCTCCATATATGTTCTTGCCGTAAAATAATGTCACTTGTTGGCTGAAC